CAGCTTGTACCCCAGTTTCTAATTCTACACACACACACATGCACACATTTATTTATTTTGCTTGTTGACCATTTGTCTCTCCCCCTAGACTGCCATCCCCACGAAGATAGGTCCCAGCTTTTTTCACCACTGAATCCGCAGCACCTGGCCCCGGGCCTAGCACACAACAGGTCCATAATAATTCTGTGTTGAACAAACAAAGAAATCACACCTAACCGCCCGGCTCTTAGTCTGCCTCTGCTCTGTGTTGAGAGCTCCTCAAAGCAGAAACCAGCTCTCATTCATCTCTGGATCCCAGAGCAGACTCTTGGGGTGGATGGTGCCAAAGGTGGGTGGCTGTGTCAGTGGCTATGACCTCATGCATGACTGTGTGTGTGACTGGGTATGACTGTGAGTGGGTGTGACTAAGCGTGTGAGTGGGTGAGAACGTGCAGTCGGCGGGTGTCAGGGATTTTGTGAACTGTCACTGACTGCTTCTCCTTCACAGTGGTTGGGTTTGCCAGCTTGAGGGCAGAGCTTCTGATATGGAGGTCTCAGACACTAGTGTGGTCAGAGGCCAAACCTAACACTATAAATGAGAGAAGTATAATGAATACAACAAACGGGTGTAGAGGAGATGGTGGCAGACAGAGAGCCCCTGTACCAGCAAGGGGGGCAGTGGCAATGCAGCCCCAGCCAAAACTGTGGGCTCAGTTTAGTAGGAGAAATCCATAGGAGAAATGTACATTTTTATGCCAAACTTCTTCTTTAAGTGTTTTGTAAGCCTGGCCGAGGAGCTGCCCGTTTGGAGCCTCTGGCTTCTGTTCCCCAACCCCGTGTCCCTGCAGGGCTAAGCACAGGAGGATCACCAGGGGCTGGCTTCCTCTCACACGAGGGGATGCCTGGCTCTCTTCCCCGCCTGGCCTGGTGGGAGAGGGAATGGTCCCAGCACACAGGGAACCTGCTCCCTCATTCGTCTGCTGGGCAGGTGCCTCCTGTGTGTGGCTGGAGCTGGAGGCCGAACTCACGTATTCCTGAGCAAAGTCAATGAGGTTCTGGAGGTCAATGTCGTCCCGATAGGCCTTGACGTTGTTGTTAATGAAGAGGTTGAGCTGGTCTCGAATCCAGTCCTTGAAGACGAAGGCCAGGATCCCTGTTGCCAGCTCCAGGAAGAAGATGAGGCCAAGGAACACGGAGAACTGGGGTTGGGGGCATACAGACAGTGGGGGTCAGAGATACAGGCTGGGGTGCCAGTGGCGGGGCTCCACCCCCCACCCTGACCCATGAGAGCCCAGAGTCCCCACCTTCTACCAAGTTAGTATTGGGTTTTTGTTTTTGTTTTTGTTTTCGGTTGCGCTACCGCACTGGATAATACTGTCTTACGATGAAAAAAAAAAATGGTGCTGTTCTTACCTACCCATCCACTCCACTTCCCCTGTTGTCTTTGAGAAACCACCCTCCACATGCACCTTCAGTTTCTGTAGCTCAGAGCCGTCACCACCTCTTGCCCCACTCTCAGATAGAGGACTGGGCATGCGCCGGGAGCCCACCAATCAGAGCGCTACCTCCCTGGGGCCACAGGGATTGGTCCAGAGACAGCCAATCAGGATCAAGGAGGTGCAATTACAGGACTTTGGTAGAATGGTTGGGAAGAGAGAGCCTCGCACAGCCTCCAGCAAGGGTTCCTAAGAGGGCGGCGCGAAGCCAGCACCCATCGTCCATTCCTGGACATCTTCCTACCCCAAGGAGACTGGAGCCAAACTGTAGAGACAGAGCTAAGAAACTGAGAGACTAGGCCAAGTGGCACTGTGGTGGCCCCTGGATCCAAATCTGCCAGCAGCTAACAAATCCCTGGGCTTGTACTAATGAGCCATAAACGCCCTTTTCACTTAGGCCACTGGGTTTCGGTCACTTGCAACAGAAAGGATCCTATAGACAATACAAATCTGTGATCACTGTTACAATAACATAATAATAAAAACTACCCATTATTAAGCACGAACTATATGCAAAAGGTGGGTGGGAAGAGGTTGTGGTCCCCAGTGGATCTAAGTGGGAGGGCACTCACAAACTTGAGCAGGAAGGTGTTCTCCCGGAGGGCTCCAATGCAGCCGGCAAAGCCCAGCACGGACATGACACCTCCAACCACTACGAACAGCCACACAGGGTCAAGGCCTCCCAGATCGGTCAGTGCAGAGATGTTGGAGAGGACGCCCTGTGCAGGGGGAGCAGAGACAAATGGGGGGGGGCTCACCCTCCCTCTACCTTGACACCCAGCAGCCCCACACCCTACCCCACCACCTTACCTTCTCACCCCAGGCCCAGAGGCCAATGGCCAGGAATAGGGCTCCCAGCACCTGCAGGAGGAGCAGCAAAGAGCTAAGGGCTGGGGCACTAGCATCCTTTCCCACCCCCAGTGGTACCCCACTGCCAGCTAGTGCTCAGGATCTTCAGGAAGCCAGAGGGAAAGAGAGAAAGAGGAGGAAGTTCTCTAATGAGACCCAAGATCCTTTCCACCTTTGCAAGAATGCACCTCAGTGTTTCTTCCCCACAGGACACAGCTGGGAAGACTGAATCCTCCCTAGCCCTAAGAGGGACATAGGGGCCCCTTCCTGGAACTCAGAACTGGAGCAGAGGGTGGCCAGAACACTCTCACCAAGCAGCAGCAGCTGTTTCCTGAGTTGGCGCTTCCACTCTAGGCCCATGTTGGGGTTCCAGATTCCTGGCATCCTCTCTGCCCCCTCCCAAGTCTGGCCTTCCTGCTGCCCTGCAACACTGTGACCTCCACCCTACTCGCCTCCCACCATTTCAACCTCCATCTGGCAGAGTCCACTTTTGCAGCTCACAGCCAAGGACCCCTGAGTAACAAGAAATCCTGAAGCAGGGCAGGATGCAGCTGAGGGGCCCAAGCCTTCTAAACACCAGCCACTGTCCCATCTCATTTCCTTCCTGGGAAGAGCCCTAGACATCCAGGCCAGCTGCCTGACCCTGGGCAGGATGTCTAACCTCAGAGGGAGAGCGCCCCTCCTGCCCAAACCCAAGGCCATGACCTCACCTCTTCAGACCTCACCCACCCACTTACTTTCTCTCCAGGCTCCCCTCCCTCAGCACATAGCCCCAGTCAACTCCACCCCTGACCAGCCACCCTTAGCACCTTCCCCTCTCTGGCCCCAGGCTCCTTCCACTGCTGTACTCATTCTCTAGAAATATTTTTCCTCCCCTCCCCAACACTGGATCTGGGATGTGAAACTAAACATCACTTCTCCTGCCTCATCCCACTTGACCTGCCCACGGCCTTTAGACAAATGAGTGATCATTATTTTCTCCTCCCTGAAACCTCTCCATGGTTCGCACAATGCTGTTCCTCCCCCTGCCCCTTCTCAGCCTTCCCCCTGCAATTCTCTGCTTTACCTGCACCAGGCACATCCCCCACCAGGTTCCAACCTCAGCCGACTACCCTCTCCTCCTCACTCTCATCTCCCACCCCACCCTGACACTGGCACTCCCTGATCTCCACCCAGACCTCTCCCTGGCTCTAGACCCCTCCGTCCACCTGCCTGCTGCAGACACCTCCAAATCCCAGGCTCCGTTCAGTGTGCTGGAAATACATCAGCGAATAGGACCCATGAGCTCTAGGCCCTCATGGAGTTTACACTCCAGTGGGGGAAATCCACAGTGAGCAAACTAGGTAATTTCAGATACCAACAGACGTTTTAAAGAAAATCAAACAGGATGATGTGATGGGGAGTGACTGGGGTGGTGGGGGCGTGTTTCAGTCAGGGAGAGTGGTGACATTTTAGCTGATGTTTGAATGATGGAAAGGCACAACAAGGGGAAAAGACTTCCAAGAGGGAGGACTGGCAAAGGCCCAGAGGTAAGATCACATTTGGCAGAGCAAGGGACAAACTGACGGGCAGCAGGGCCACCCTCCACAGGGTGCTGCGGGTCACAGGGAGGAGTCTGGACTGCATGCTAGTGAGAAGAAACTTGCAGGCTCTGAGCAGGATAACATCAGGGTCTGCTTTCCATTAAAACAAAAACTCTCTGGTCTTGTTTCACAGGTACCTCCTTCAGGCCACCTTGGCCCAAACCTGAAACCCTCCCTCCATACCCCCAAGTGCCCCAGTCCTGTCCATTTAGCCTCATAACTTCCCGTGGAGCCTTCCTCACCTTTCCCACCTGCCACCCTCCCAGCTTTGCCCCAGTCCTCCTCCCTGGTCTCCTCACCTCCAATCCCTGCCCCTCACTCACCCTCCCCATGGCAGCCAGACAGATCTGCAACCAACACAGAAGCCAGAACAGACCCATCACCCAGCACTGAAGCCCACAGTGCTCCACACTGTCCTCAACATAAAACTCAAACTCTCTGACCCAGCCCAGGGGCCTTTCACACTCTGGCTCCCTGCCTGGGGTGGGGGATGGGGCACGTACCTGCAACAAGCCTGGGTCTCTCCTGCCTCGACACTCGGGGGCTCCCTCTGCTCAATGCTCTGCCTCACCTACACCTACTTGCCCACTGGGCTGTCACCTTAGCTCTGTGGTGGCTGGCTGTGTGACTCTGGGTTAAATGACTTAACCTCTCTGTGCCTGTTTTCTCATCTATAAAATGTAGGTAATAATAAAGGGGCCATGAGAATACAGTGAGGTATAATTCATTTAACCTGCCTAACAGCCCTGAGGGGCAGGTTTCATTATCACCCTCTCCCAGGCAGGGAAGCTGAGGCCCAGAGAGAAGTGATCTGCCCAGTCTCACAGCTAGGCCTGCTACACCCAGAGCCCCAGACTGCCTCAACCAGTGCTCTCTGCACGTGGCCAACACTCCGAGAGCTGGGCGCTGCTGGGGTCAAAGGACACCCACACTGTATGAGCAGCATGTGGGTAGAGGGCAGTGCCACTGAGTCCTGCTGAACAAAACCGAATGCGCCTGGCATTCTAACCCAAGGTGTCAGGAGCAGAAACTGCAGAGGCAGCAAGCAGCCTTGGAGAGATGGGATGGGGGAGGGAGAAGGGAAAGATGACTTGGCAGGGCCCAGGGGCACAGATGCCACCCTGGGAGGGGCACCAGCAGCTCCTTCTCCAGGCAGGGGCAGCCCCGCCCTGAAACCTCGGTTTTGTCAGCTGTGGAATGTAGAATTCTGTTCCCCAGGGCCAGCTCCCGGCCTCTCAACAGGGGATATTCCCCTGGCCCAGACAGAGAACTAGGGCGATTGGCCCTCCCTGCCCGAAAGCCTCTTAGTTTAGGGCAGGGAGGAGGGGTAGGGAGGGCCGAGGGGCTTTGACCTACCCCTCTTTGTAGGAGCTTAAGGCGAGGCAGCAGGCCCAGGGTCTGGAGGGGTAAAGGAACAGGAGAGGGGATCGGGCCCTTCGCGGAGGCTCTCCCTACCGGCAAACCAGGGGTAGGGCTCCGCGCACCCCCTCTACCTCAGGGTGCAAGGGGGCTGGGAGGGAGAGAGGGAGACCAAGCGTGCCCTGGGGTCTTCAAGGAAACACCTCCCCCTTTTCCGCAGGGCCTTGGGAAGACCCCCGGAGACTACCCCTCCCCACCCTATTCCTGCAGTGGCTGGGACCCGCCCCCTGTAATCCGGGCCTCTGTTGGTCCTGGGGGTGGGCGTGGAGGTGGGAGTGGGAGTGGGAGGAAGGAGTCGGGGGGCGATCTCAAGCCCAGGTGGCAGGGTGGTCTTCCCCTAGTAGGGAACTGAGCCTCCTTCTCCCGCCACCCTTAGCACAGGGCCAGGAACCCACCCCGCGCTCACCCAGAAGACGATGTTGAAGCCAAACAGGAAGTATTTCCCGCAGCAGCCGACCTCCGGTTCCTGGAAGTGCTG